CTACCTCTCTGTCGCGTCTGTGTGCGACAGAAGCCCCCCCGCGGGAAGTGTCGCGGCGGCGTCCTCTGCGCGGGCGCCCCTGCTTTGCATTTGAAAGGCCCCCAACAGGATAAGGGCGAGGCGCAGCGCGGCGTCATCGCTCTCCGCGGCACGGAGCAGCAGCAGAGCACAGCAGAGAGCGTGCCCCGCGCGCTCCGGCCCCACCTCATCAAGAGCCTCGCGGAGCTAAGAATAAAAGCTGTCGCGTCCCCGCCGCACCTCACCCCGCACCACCCCGCCCCACCCCACCCCTTCTCCCGGCGAGCGCAGTCTTTGAACACCTGCATCGCTTCCGAGAAGCACCAGCCAGCCCAGCCCAGAGCCCCCCGGGGCCGTGCCCTGGCCGTTTGCTGACACAGAGCCGGGCGCGGCGGTATACACACTTACTGCAGTGCCAGAGGGGCCGCGCGGTTGACAGGCCGTGGAGAGAAAATAACAACAATACCCCTGTGCGCGGAGCAGAAAAAAGCATTAAAAATAAAATGGTTTTGGTGTCATTGCAGCCCGGCAACAGTTAGTTGTGACCTTCTGACCCCGCGCCGCCCCGGCGCCGCGCCAGGTCATGCCAGCGGCACGGACACGCGGCCGGCCGCAGCCCTTCGTGGTGTCCGCCGGCCTGAGGAGAGGAGGCCTTCACTCGACCTCCTCCCTGTCGCACCCGCGGCCTGCGGCTGGTCCATGCGAGAGAGAGATATACGCCCGCGACAAGTTTTCGAACGAGGCCTTTTGCCGCCGCTGGTACCCGCTAGATAGACACGGCAACACAAACAAGAAGCGCTCGAGCAGCGAGTGTATTATTTGTTGATCGGAGCAAAGTGAAATCGAGAGATACCGACACAAGATTGTGGACCAAGCGGCCGCGACGGCCGGCGCGGGTCTGCTGCGGGGCGGCCCCGGCCGCAGTCAAAGAACAGCGGCGCGACGAGGACCGGGACCCGGGGGGCAGCCGGGACCGGCGGGAGGAGGAGGAGGACGTCGTCGGGTCGCTGACGTCACGGCCATTCGCGCCCCAAGGGCCTAACGCACACAGCGAGCAGCGCTCGCTGAGCACGCGTCCTCGATCGGACTGGAGGCTGACAGTCACACTTGTTTTCAATCTCGTCGCATCGCTCGGCACGGCGCGGCGCGGCGGGCGCGGCGGGCCGGCCGGCCGGCGGGTAGCGGAGAGGACGGCGCGGGCAGCGCGTAGAGCGGGGCCCCGGGGCCGCGGGAGGGGCGGGTGAGGGCGCTGCTAAAGTACACTGCCGCCGAGACGGGTGTCTTGGAGGACGACGGGGTGGACGTGTTCGCTGCTGGCGCCGACACACGCAGGCGCCTCGCTGTCACGCGGCCGTCCACGTCCCCGCGAAATGCCCCGCCACCTCGCCCCGCCACGCTTCGCCATGCCCTGGCACTCCCTGATAACCCAGCCCAGGTCGTGCCCAGCGAGTACGGACCCGTCAGCTGATTAGTCGCCCTCAGTCTGCGCGGCCGGGCGGCGCGGGACATAGGGGGTGCGAAACACTCGCTCAGTCACTAACCTACCGGTGAGCAGAAAGTGGTAGCGTCGGGCGCGTCTCTATCGGTCCTGCTGGCCAGGACGTCGTCCAGGTCGCCGAGGAGGTCGCCGCCAAACTCGGGCGCGTCGAGAAGCCCGCTCGCTCTCGTCGGGGTCCGCGTGCTCGATGGCCACGCGCGTCTCACTCCCTGCTTACTACTTCACAGACTGTTGCTGCTGCGGCAGCCTCGGCGGCAGCCTGCGGCCCGGGGGCCCGGCTGGGGCCCGGCAGAGGCCTGCCCGCCCGGGCCCCACCCTCCCCATACCG